GCCAAAGCCAGCTCTCCAACATCCCCCAAGGGGTCCCGGATTGTGAGAGGGTGCAGGCCAGACCGAGGGACCCCACCAGTGCACAACTGGGGCCAGGGAGGGACACGGGAGGTTGGCCAGCTTGGGAGGGACCACAGGATGGCTCCAGGGCATGTCTGACCTATCTCATTCAGTCCCAATCAGCCAGACCCCAGCAGCAAGCTAACCTGCTGGTCAGAGCATCTGCCCCCTGCTGGTCAGTACACATCATAGCAAGCGGTTGAGCAGCCTTAGCATATCATTAGCATATTACACTTTGATTGGTTGAATAGATGACCTGTTGACCAGACTCTTAGCATATTAGATTTTTATTAACTATAGATATAAAAGGCCAGCAACCATAATGGCATCATGACCAGAACAACCAGAGACCAAACACTGCAGCCCCTCCCCCAAGCTGGCCCCACCCCCAGTGGGAACCCCACCCTGATGGGGGTGTGGCCGGCCTGCAAAGCCCCTGCAGCTCCTTGCCCTGGCTGGCTGTGCCCCCACAGTGGGGACCCACCACCCAGGTCTGTGGCCCCCATCAGGGCTGGCCAGCTGGCCCCCACCCATGTACTAGGCCTCTATTCCTATATAATAAGAGGGTAATATGCAAATTGACCGTAAAGGCAGATCGATCAGAATGACCGCTGGACCAGGCAGTATGAGACACACTGACTACCTCATGGTTCCGAGAAAAAAAGGGTAAAATATTTAACTGCAACAGTGTTTGACTATATCCTGTGCAATGAGAAAACCTGAAGTCATTTTCAAGGTCCAGCATTTCTTATTTATTTTCAGTTGGACCAAGTTTCTAAGCTTTCTAAATCTTTGTTTTCTGGCTAATGAGAAGAAAATAGGATTCCACCGAGTCTGCTATCTGCCTACTCCAGGACTTCTGTGAGGATCAAACGAGATGAGCAGGGGAAAACGCTTCACAGACATTTGGTTAAAAAGTGTGAAATGTTTGCACCTGGCTATAAAGCAAGCCGTGTCCCTGGGCTGAAGACACTGCAAGGAGGCCAGTCGTTGCTAGGGAGAGGAAGCCGGGCGTTGCTACCTGATGTCATCACCTGGATGGACCCTTAGCACCTTAGCCTTTTACGTAGATAGATTCCTCTTCTTTCTGTGGGGAGGGCCTTCTGGGGAGCCCAGGGCTGGGTGAGGCTGAGAGGCGGCCCTTCTGCGGGGTAGGATCGGGGGTAAGGGGGGATTGGTGGGGGAGGAGAACACTTGGACAGTAGGATCCCCCTCGCCCACACCCGCCTCACCCACCTGTCAGGATGCTGTCAACGATGTGGCAGGAATGAGACAAACACTCGGAACTGGACCAGCAAAGCAGATGGACCGCTGCGGGAAGGGTGCTCCTCCAGCGGGAACCCTGGGCCACATCACACATAAGGGGTATTTCCTTTCAGTTTCATTTCCTGCCGCAGGTCTGCCTGCCCTCACTCTGAACTCTGACTTGGTTGGTCAGGGCTCAGAGCTGGTTTTCCCATTAACGCACAATTGGCTAATTCCGAGGAAGGGGAGGGTGAGGCGGAGCCTAAGGTGGCAGCGAGCTCCTTTCTTTGACAGAAAAACCACTGGTTCACTCTCCTCCCACCCCCCCAAACCCCCAGGGCATGGGGAGACACCCCAACTCCTCCTCCTGGCTGTGGGCTGTGACAGGCCCCGTGGCCCCTCTGGCCAGACCTCACCCTCCTCCCTTCGCATCCCCCAAGGGTCCCTGGGCCCAGACATGCTCCCCTCCGGCCTGTGCAGGGCTGGCTCCCCCACAGAGTGCAGGGGGTGCCAGGTGACTGTCCCCGATCCTGCCTGGCACCACCAAGCCCTGCCGGGCACGTCAGCCTTCCTCCTGGCGGCCAGCACTCGCCATCAGAAAGGACCTGCTCGGTTTTCTTTCTAGGAAACGCCGCCCACCAGGAGGTCTGTCTCTGAGGGCTGGGCCCGCTCCCTGCTGGGAGGGTGCCCACAGCCCTCTCCCAAGTGCCCACACCCCTCTGCCAGGGCTCAGAGCTGTCCTCCATCAGTGCAGGGAGGGAGGGAGGTTCATTTTCTGGTGAGAACAGCAAACAAGAGGCCTCCCCATGGGGATGGGGGTGGGGAGGCAGGAGGAGGCGGGGCTGCTGTTTTTACCAAGAGAAACCCCCAGGTCCTGGCACACAGGGTGTGAAGCTACGGTCATGGGGAGGTGGGCGGATGGGGAGGTGGGCGGATGCCCGGGGAGCCGCTGGGACCTGGCCAGGTGTGTGGGCAGGGGGCGGAGGGGGAGGAGGGAGGTCAGAGGTGCGTCCAACAACTGGTTTGTGTATAAACCTGGGCCTCGCTGGGCCACACAAACTGGTCCTGGCTGGTTTTGCCTGGACAGAGAGCTCTGGGCAGACAGGTCAGGGGGTGAGGGGCAACTTACTGAAGATAAATGGGGTGCCCTCCCAGATAAATGGGGTGGATCCCAGAATCCATCTCCTGGTGGCTCCCACCCCACCCCCACCCCACCCCCACCTCAAGGATCCAGATCCAGAATGTTCCAGCGCTGACAGCAGAAAGGCAGGCCCCGGGGAGCATGGGGTGGGCGGACAGAGCCAGACCCTCTGGGCAAAAAGCAGGGGAAGTTCCAGTCCCTGGAGCGTGCGCTGTGGGCCCTGCCAGGGGCTCCCAGGGGGCAGGGGGGGCAGGGGCCTCGTCTGCCCGCAGTTCTTTCTCAGCTTATCCTGCCCCTCCAGCTGCCACAGCGATGCCCTGTATCCAGCTTTAAATGACCCACATTCTTAAAATGCCAAAATGGCCCGGCCGGTGAGGCTCGGTGGTTGAGCATCAACCTATGAACCAGGAGGTCAGGGTTTGATTCCTGGTCAGGGCACATGCCAAGTTTGCGGGCTCGATCCCCAGTGTGGGGCATGCAGGAGGCAGCTGATCCATGATTCTCTCTCATCATGGATGTTTCTCCCTCTCCCTCTCCCTTCCTCTCTGAAATCAATAAAAATATATAGATTGCAAAAATACTGCCACTTCTTAACCCAGCAACTCCATTTTAAGGGATCTCCCTAAAGTGGGCAGGAATTCCGAGTTACAGCCCGTGTTCATCCGTGAGAGGGTTCACAGTGGGCTAAACAGCAAGGGTGCAAACGCGATAGAAACACACATAGACTCACCCACACATGCGCACACACACACACACACGTGGCATTACCAGATGTGCACAAAATATACCATATTTCATGGTGGTTGTCTGAGTGCTGGAATTCGTATCTTCAGGGGCCATTGGTGTGGGATCTCTGACCCCTGTGCCCCTGGACTTGGCAGAGGGCGACTCCACGTGAGTAACCCCGTCACCTTGTCTGATAGGAGAACCATCCAGATGGGCCGCCCTCCCCAGCCCTGGAGCAGCACAGAGGGATGGGTGGCATTACCAGATGTGCACAAAATATACCATATTTCATGGTGGTTGTCTGAGTGCTGGAATTCGTAGCACTTTTTAGTATATATACTCGTCTGTATTTCTCCAAGTGTTTGGCAATGGGCATTGACAAATAAAGGGAAAGGAATCATTTCCAAAGGCCATGTTTAAAACAGAGTGGATGCTCACGACGTTGATTGACAAGAGGGGCGGGGCAGGGGGCAGCGGAG